GAGTTGTTCCATTTCTATTCAATAATTCCAGCTCCCTATGTAAATATACTTATATATAGGGAGCCCTGATGGTTATGTGATAAGGAGTTATGCCGCCAGCCCATAGGCTTGCAATTCAAATCCATCAGCTGCTCTTTGGGAGAAAGATAGACAATCTCCTTTCATGAAATTAAACGGTCTCTGAACACCAGCCAGAGGTTCAACTATGACTTAGTTATGACTCAACAGTATATGGACATATTCCCTATTCTATTTTCAAAGATAGGTTATACAATTTGTCTAAGGCCTCACATAAGTAAAAAGACAATGCATACATATATGACAATTTAGCATACAAATAAGAAGTTACTTTCTGAGGATTATAAAAGAAGAAAATTCTTTTTACTTGTGAGAAATTATTATATTATGAATTTTATAAACCATATTGTATACTAAATATTGTTTTATTAAGATCACACATATATTTCATTCTTATAATAACATCATATGCAGGTATTTTTCAAATATTTTATATGTGTTATTTACTTAATGGGCTCAACAATTCTATAAGGTACATACCATTGTCCCTAATTTATAAATTTTTAAAATGAGAGAGACGATTTGCTGGGTTTAGCTAACAATTAGCTGTGGATGGGAAGGCACTTGTTTGTAATCAACAGGACCTGGTGGAGGGCCTTGGTATTTAAAGGTCGGTTGGGCCCTATGTCTCCAGTTTAGAGGCTGATGTGTGACATGGTTGGATTCTGGAAGGTTAGAGGTTTTGTGCTGGTTGAGGGTCAAGTGTGGACTGTTTAGCTGGGTTTTTTTTTTTGTGGGTTTTTTTAATTTCATTTACAATTGTGTGTGAGCTGACAGGATTTGCTGGATTGAGCTAACAATGAGCTGTGGGCAGGGAAGTGCCACTTGTTTAGATTCAACAGGACCTGGTGGAGGGTCTTGATATTTAAAAGTTGGCTAGTGTTAATTGTATCTGGGACTAACATTCATCTAGGTGGTACAGCACTGCTCTGTAAATTTTTTTGTACCAAGGTAACTTGGGGTTGCTGTGATGCTGAACACTGTGCCACTGGTGTGCCAAATGTAATAATGGTTACCCATGGTGGACAGTGGTTAGTGGAGATCCCAGATTAAGACAGGCTTGGAAGCAGGAGTGGATCGACTTCCTAAACAACATGCTTCTGGAAACTCTATGAATTTAGAGAAGTGAAGACAGTTAGGTCTTTGTTCATAGGGTTACTATGAGTCATGTTTGACTTGATGACACTTAACAACAACAACAACACGTGCACAAATAAATGTTTAAGTAGCTTAATAAATCAAATGCCAGAATTCCTATCAGTAAATTTTACTCCAAAGGCCACTGTTCAGGGTTGCAGTTTATTGTGCAAACGACTTTGAAAAACACTTTATTGCTTGTGGAGAGACAGGACTGAGGTGTCCCTGGGGTTATAGATGCCCCACCTGGAAACCGTTGTCTTTGTGGCTGTTGAGCCATCCCAGGGGCCAAACAGGACAAGAGTTGGAAACAACTTAAGTGCCCATTAACAAACAAATGGATAGAGAAGCTGTGGTAGATTCACAATTACAATTCACACAAATACACTCCATTGAAAAACAAGGAACTCATGAAATATTATTCAAAATGGGTGATCATGGAGGACATTATGCTGAGTGATATATCTCAGTCACAAAAGGACAAATGCTGCATAATACCACTGTTGTAAAACAGGAATGACATCAGGATTTGGGGTGGGGGGAGACTGAGAAAGATGGGATAAATTATGTATACTGCACTAAGTGTGATGAGAGAGAGACCTGTTTAAAAGGTATATATGATTAGGTATTATTATCATGACATGAATCCAGAACGAAGGCTGAATAGTTGAGTGGACTTAAGGGGAGGGATTGTATAAAATGACATAATTTTTCTTTTACTTTTCAAAAAGAAGAAGGAACTGGGGGGGAGAGGTAGGCAGGTAGAAAAGTACAACAATGAATGAATGGAAATTAAAAAAATCTCTAAATTTTCATTAAAATGAATAACAATAATAGCAAAAAAAGAGTTGTTGTAGCTGTTGTTAAGTATCATTGAGTTGAACATGACTCACAGCTATCCTATGAACAAAAGACCTGAGCCCTGTTGTATAACCATCTTTGTTTCTCTAAATTCATAGTTTCCAGAGACATGTTGTTTAGGAAGTGGATACCACTTCTGCTTCCAAGTCTGTCTTAATCTGGGAGCTCTACCAAACACTGTCCATCATGAGTAACCATTATAGCATTTGACACACCAGTGGCCCAGTGTTAAGTAACACAGCAACCCTATGTTACCTCAGTACAGCAAACTGACAGACTAGTGCTGGGCCATTTAAAAGAATGGTTATATGGTGAGCTCTGGTGGCCTAGTGGCAAGAAACTGCACTGCAATACCAGAGGTACGCAGTTCAAATCCACCAGATGCTCTGCTGAAGAAGGAGGAACAATCACCTCCTGTACCAGTACCAGTCAGATCCTATTTGACGGTACACACATTAAAAAAAAAATGGTTATCCCAAACACAATTAACACCAGGCCTGAGTTCTTCAGACGTTTAAATACAAAAGCCCACCCACCAGGTCCTATGAATGAAAAAAAAAATCAAATAGTCCACATTTCATCCTCAACCAAAACAACAGAACCAACCTTCTAGAATTCAACCATTTCACACATGAGCCTCCAAAATGGAGATTTCGTTGGGGCCCAAACAACTTTTAAATGCAAGGCCCACACATCAGGTCCTGATTGACTCTACACAAGGTCAACCCCACAGCTCATTATTAGTTAAATCCAGCAAATCTTATCAGCTCACACATGATTCTGAAAGAAAAAAACAAAAACCAAACAGTCCACAATAGACTCTCAAGACCCTCAATCCTCAACTGATACAAGAGAGCCCACCATCCGGAATAAGAGTAGTACTAAAAAAAAAAATCTTCAACACTGCTATAGAATTAATTCTGAATCATAGTGGTGACTCTCCATCAGGTTTCCAAGGCTAGAAATTGTTCCAGGCGGTCAAAAATCAAAGTCACAGTTATCTCTGTAAAGTCAGAAACAGCTTGCCTTTGCGTTGATAGAATATTTCCTTATTCACTAGGCCAACAGAGAGACTGCCTATTTTTTCCTGCAGAGCAATTCAAGCTGCTTAGCCTTTGGTTGACTTATTGTTGTTATGTGCCATCAATTAAGAACCAGCTCATAGCTGACCCTCCAGTGGATTTTCAGAGGCTATAAATCATATGGGAGGAGATTTGCCATCTTTCTCCTACTTAGTAGTCGGTGGATTTGAACTGCCTGTCCTTGGATTGGCAGCACAACTCCTTATATGCCACATTAGCTTGACAAATGTTTCTTGACAACTTTATAGGGATTTACTTTCAAAAAGTTAACATCTCCCAAGGGGAAAAAAATAATTACACTCTATTTAAATTTCCCAGTGTTTTTACAGTTAAAAATGCAGAATTATTTTTGTTTTTCCTCAAACCTTTAATAGATTCGACATTTCTTTTTTTTAAAGAAAAACAAAAGCAAGAACTAACTCCAAAATCTATTTCTAACCTTTATAATTGAATTTTGCTCTCTTCTAAAAACTATGCAGAATACAGCATGTATTCTGGTAATACTAGGTTACAAAGCAATTATAAGAAAAGTCAATATTGACAAATAGTCATTTTTTTTACTATCTTATGAATATAAAAGTTCTTATTGGGATCCACATATTTGTTTCTAAACACTGTTAAAGGAAGGGGGTATGTATGTGTGCTCTTCTGTGTGAGAGAGAATATTTCCTCAGGGAATAATGTTTTTCCATTCTTCTCATTTTCTTCCTAAAATTGTCAAATGATTTCCTGTATTTGCTTGATCTTCAGAAAACTGGGATTGTACATGTTATAAATGCATATATATTACTTTGATTGCCATGATCAATAATTAGTTATCTTGAAAAAATTATATTAAGGAACAAGCAAAGTATACTGGACCACTTAACGTGAAAGAGAGAATTGGCTTTTTTGTTCATATCTTTTCTCAGGGATTCTCAACCATACTTCTTTTTAGAATGTTCTTTAAAGGTTTCTGCAGCTCTCTGCTCAATCTTCAATAATGTTCTCTGTCTCACAAGTCAGTTTTTAATGTTTTCCTACTGTCATCAATTTATTCATATTGACCTTTTTAATTTTTATTGTATTATTTTTACGTGTACTGTCAAATCAGATCTGACTGGTACAGGAGGAGATTGCCCCCTCCTTCTCCAGCAGAGCATCTGGTGGATTTGAACCGTGTACTTCTGGGATTGCAGTGCAGCGTCTTGCCACTAGGCCACCAGAGCTCCCTCTCATATTGACCTTTTACATAATGTATTGAGGACAAGAGAGATGATTTTATTTTTTTCTATGACATAATGATAAATTAAGCACTTCTTGAGAAAGAAGTAATAACATTACTAAACTATCTAAGTTCCCAAACTATTTATTTGTGTATATGTGCACTAGGGACAACAGTATATATGCCATTCTAATTTGGATTTACTTGCATTTCCTCATACTAAGATATGGGAAATAATAATGAAAAGAAAAAGACTTTAGTAAACCTATAATAGTTATGAACAAAGAAAAATTGGTTGTGCAAAATTTGTACAAAAATAATTTGTCTATGTGTGTTTGTCTATACATGAATATATGCATTTTCTGAGGAAAGGGTACATAGCATTTATGTTTTTCCAAGGGTCTTTGGAACTATAGAATATTTATCTAGGGCTTGAAAGTGATAAACGAAATACAGCAGATAATCCGTAGACAAGCAATTAAAAGGCTGCCTTGCCCTTTAAATTAAAAGAAAATCATTGAAAAGAAAAATGGAACAGTTAATTGGGAGAGAAAGAATCTGTCATTGAAGTTCCTTATTATGTGTTTCCTTTAATTAAAAATATATACCTCACAGAGGAAGTATATGGAAAAACTTACTTGTTCACCTCTCATGCCTGGGAGCCCTGGATAACCTTTGAAACCCTGGAAAGGAAAAGATGAAGATATGCCGTGAACTATATACTCATAAAAGCAAAATAAAAGCTGAATTCTGAATTACCTTTTATGGCAACTTTTGATTTTCTTATCAATACAAATTAATTCTTATTAAATTATATATTGTTGTTGTTGTGTGCCATAGAGTCGAAAGTGCATGTCTTTGGGATTGCAGCACAGCTTCTTGCCACTTTGCCACCTAACATTTTATTCTGTAAGGAGTTGCATTACACTGCTAAAGGTCTAGATTCTATGGTGATTTGAATTCACCAGCAGTTCCTCAAGAGAAAGATGAACAGTCTGCTCCTGTATAATTTATTCTCAAGAAAGGGTCAGCTATGAACTCGTTGTGATATGATGGACATGAGGGGTTTGGGGTTTTTTTTGTTTTTTTTTGTTTTTTTGTTTGTTTGTTTGTTTGTTTTTTAGTTTTATTGCCTAGTGGCGAGAAACTGCACAGCAATTCTTATGGCACTTGGTTCGAATCCACCAGTTGTTCCACAGGAGAAGGATGGACAATCTCCTCTTCTTTGATTAACTGTCTCTGAAAACCCACTGGAGGATCATCTATAGGTGGGTTCTAATTTGGTGGTACACAACAACAACATTAATAACTCATGTTTAGTGTTTTAGAATGACTGTCATTATCAACAAAACATAATAGCTTCTTATTAAACAACAAAGAAAGTATTTTTTTTTAAATAAAAGGCTGATAGCTAGCAATGGATTAGTTAAACTTGCTGAAGTTTTAAAACTATAGTTCTAATTCTCTGGTAAAAATCATCAAGCACCAAAGAATGCCTTAAAAATACAGAGAAACACCTTCAACCATTTGGCCAAAATGATGAGATAAATTTGTTGCTAAACTAAGAAACTCGAATGAAATGGCCATAGATGATTAACACATAATCCCCTGTTAAAAATTCTTATGAAAAATCATGAATCATGAGAACATAACTTCTTGTGAACAGGAAAATATATTTTTTTAAATCCCAAGAAAAGTGATTTTATGATTTTAAAAAATATTCAACAGAAGAATTATCCAAGATAGCTGGAGAACTTGAAGATATTTAAATTTAACAGGAGTAAATAAAGCATAAATATCTCCATTCTACACACGTACCTTCTCGGCTGTAATTGAAGGGTTTTTTGTTTTTGTTTTTTTTTTTTTAAATATTAAATAGAAAAATGACCCCCAAAAGCTACAGAATGATGACATTGATGTTTTAAGTGAATACAGCACAAATTTCTCCATTCTACCTACATCTCTTTCAAGTTCAAATTTGCTATGCCAACCTTTATTTAAACCCTCCTGAAAATGACTAACATTTCAAAAAAGAAAATTGTTGCTTTGAAAGATGTTACAATGATAGTTAAAAAGAAAGCTTCATGTTCTATCTTGAAGTGATAAGACATAATCAATACGCATACAAGGAAGACCTGATAATATGAATATTATTCAAATATATTCACCAAAAACTAAAGCCAAAGAAGAGGAAACTCAAGACTTTTTTACCAGAGATGTGTTTATTTGGCTCCTAGAATGCAAAAGTTGGAAACATTGAAGATGGAACCATAGAAAGCACAGAATTGGTGACAGAATGATGGTGGAAATAGAATGGCTAACTATGTACATTTAATTACTTATTCATCGCAAATACCTTTACTAGAAAAGAAAAACTTACCTCATGGACCTCATTTGACCTCATTTGATGGACCACGTAAAAGTCAGACTTTTTTTTTAAGAATCTGTTTAAGAAGCTCAGTATCAGATGTCAAAACCAAGCCAACTGCTGACTATAGAATAAATAGAGTTCAAATTAAAGAAAAAAAATAAAACAAGTCAACTTAGAAACAAAATATGATCTTGAATCTATCCCATCTGAATTTAAAAATGCTCTTAAGAATACATTTAAAATATTGAACTACAATGATCAAACACCAGATGAGTTGTGAGATGATATCAAATATCATATCCATGAAGAGAGTCTCATTTGAAGGCAGAGAAGAATGAAAAAATCCAAAATGGATGTCAGAAGAGTCTTTGAAAGTTACACTAAAGCATCAAGAAGCCAAAACAAAGGGAAGAGATGCTGCAGTGAGAGCTGTACACAAGATTTCAAAGGTCAACTAAAGAAGATGAAGCAAAGTTATAATAAAATGTGCAGTGAGCTGGAATTCAAAAATAAAAAAGGAAGAACTCACTCAGCATTGCTTTAGCTGAGAGAACTGCAAAACAAATTTAACCCTTGAATTCCAATACTGAGATACAATATTGGTATCATCAAAATATTGAATGATCCAGGAAATATCAAAAGAATACAGAGAGAATACACAGAGTCAATAAACCAAAGGAATTGGCCAACATGGAAATATTTAAGGAAGTATCATATGATGAAGAGTCAATAGTAATGAAGAAAGAACTTAAAGATGCACTGAAGGCATGGCATGAAATAAGGCCCCAGGAATCCATGGGATACTAAGTGACCTGTTTCAAACAATGGATGCAACCCTGGACAAGGTTCACCAGTATATCCTAGGAAATTTCGAGGACAGCTGCTTAGGTGCCTCACTGGAAGAGATCCACATTTCTTCCCATTGCCAAGAAAGTTGATCCAACAAAATATGAAATTAATTAATACCATTATTATCACATGCAAGCAAAATACTACTGAACTTCAGTAAGAACTGGCAAGAACAGTACATAGGCAGAGAACTACCAGAAGTTCTGGCCAGATTTAGAGGTAGGGATATCATTTCTGATGTCAGTTAGATCCTGGCTGAAGGCAAAAGAATGCCTGAACAATTTCTATTTGTGCTTTACTGACTATGCAAAGACATTTGACTATATGGATCATAACAAATTATGGTTAACACAGAAGAATGGGAATCTCAGAATATTTAACTGTGCTCAAGAGAAACCTATCTCTAGATGAAGGATATGCTATACAAACAGCAGGAAAACATTACATGGTTTAAAACTGAGAAAGGTGTGCATCAGGTTTGTATCTTTTCTCCATACAGACTTAATCTGTATGCTGGGTAAATTATTCGAGATCCTCTCCTCTAGGAAGACTATGACATCAGGATCAGAGAAAAAGTCACTAATAACCTAGACTATGCAGATGACACAACTTTGCTTGCTAAAAGTTAGGATTTGAAATGCTAGCTACATAAGATCAAAGAATGCAGTCTTTCTTTTTTTTTTAGAATGCAGTCTTTAATACACTGTTTAATATGGATTGCATCTCAACACCTAGAAAATAAAATTTCTCACCACTGGACTGATAGGCAACATCATGGCCAACAAAGAATTGAGATTGTCAATGACTTCATCTTACTTGGATCCACCAACAATATACTTGGTAGCAGTAATCAGGATATTGCATTGGGAAAGTCTGTAGTCAAGGACTTCTATAAATAGTAAGCAGCAATGATGCAAGTTTGAGGATTAAGGTACACCTCATTTAAACTATGGTCTTTTAAATCACTTGCTATGAGTCAGAGAACTAGATAATGAAAAAGGATGACAGAAAAAGAAGATGAAGAAGAAGTGTCTTTGAATTGTGGTGCAGGAGAAGAGTATGAAACATATCATGGACTGTCAAGAGAACTAACAAGTCTGTCCTGGAGAAGGAGAAATAAAGCTGCTTCTTGGAGGCAAGGATTTTGAAGCTCCATCTCACATACTTTGGACATGTACCAAGGAGGGACCAGTCTTTGGAGAAGGATATCATGCTTGGAAGGATCAAGGACAAAGCAGGAAAGAAAGACCCAAGATGAGATGGACTGACACAATAACTGGTATAATGAGGGTAGATATGTCAGAGACAATGAGATTGGCTCAGATTAGAGCAGGGTTCAGAGTTGTTGTGCATAGAATTGCTGTGAGTCATAGTCAATTCAACAGCACATAACAACAACAACAACAAATCTTGGACCAGGTAACTTGTGGTGTCAGGGTTTATTTTGGCTGAAATATTTATTGTATTAGGAGAGAAGATAAGGGTGGTATATAAGAATCACTCTTGATAATGTGTGATAATGTTGATAATTGTGTGTACAGTTGAGTTGGAACCAACTCATAGCTGACCCTGTGTCAAGTTTTCAGAGGCAGCAAGCACATTGGAGGAGACTGTCCATTCTTCACCTAAAGTAGCTGATGGAATCTCAAAACAAGTGACTTTGAGATTGCAGCACAGACTCTTGCCACTAGGCTAACATAAGCTAATGAGACCTCAATGCTAGCACTCTCTTTTTTGGAATGCCCACATTCTAGCTGCACTGCACCTGATTGACTACAGTGCTCACCAGTCTCTGTAAAATTGGCGTGAATACCTATAGTTATGTGAGTCATTCTCTTGATGGATATGAGTCTTGGGGAGACCTTCCAGAGTACCAATGAACTCAAGAGACTCAGAACAGTGAGTGAACTGAACAAAGGAGGGACTCCTGATGTTGGAAATCATGGAGTTATACAGTAGTATATCAAGCATGTGGGACACTGTTGATTTTACACTCTTTATAACAGGTCTGCTACTAATCTAAGTCAGATTATGAACACATGGATTTATCAGCAAATTTTACCAAAAAGAGCTATCACCAATTCTATATAAGTATTTCAGAAAACAGAAAAAAAGATGGAGTACTCTGACACATTCTATAAAATAAACACAACCCTGATATAGTAGTGAAATAAAGACTCCATCAAAATAGAAAACTATAGACAAATATGCACAAAACCTTAATAAAATCCTGGCTGATAGAATACAACAGTGTGTGTATGTGTGTGTGTGTGTGTGTGTGTGTGTGTATAAATAAAATCATAACCAAGTGAGATTCATAACAAGTATGCAAGGATAGTTCAATAGAAGGAAAACAATTACTGTCATTCATTAACAAAGCAAAGAACAAGCAATGTATGAGCTTATCAATTGATATATAAAAGGTGTTTAAAAAAATCCCAAAGCACTTGACAAAATATAGAG